TGCTGCTGTTGGAGCTGCTGTTGTTGGTGCTGCTGCTGTTGGAGCTGCTGCTGCTGCTGCTGCTGTTGAAGCTGCTGCTGTTGGTGCTGCTGCTGCTGCTGTTGGAGCTGCTGTTGCTGTTGGTGCTGCTGCTGCTGTTGGAGCTGCTGTTGCTGTTGGTGCTGCTGCTGCTGTTGGAGCTGCTGCTGCTGCTGCTGCTGCTGCTGTTGGAGCTGCTGCTGCTGCTGCTGTTGGAGCTGCTGCTGCTGCTGCTGTTGGAGCTGCTGCTGCTGCTGCAAGGTGGCCATGGGCTGAGTGCTGAGTTTGGGCTGCCCACCATGTGGCATCAGGCCCTGCTGCAGATGGGAAAGGCCTGCCATGGATCCCTGCTGTTGGTGCTGCTGTTGCTGCTGCTGGGCTGTGACCAGCCGGTGTCCCATAAGGCCCTGACCCTGCTGTGCCAGCTGGGGGGAACTCAGCACCCGGGACTGGGTCAGAAGCACCTGTCTGTGAGGACCCTGGGGGCCCAAGGCTCCAGGGTGCTGCTGTTGCTGCTGCAACACTGCCACCTGGGCAGGGCCCAGCATGCCCTGGGGCCCCTGGGGTGGTTGTGGGGACAGTTGCTGGACCAAGAGGCCCGGATGGCCGCTGGGAGGCAGAAGCCCCTGGGGCTTGGGACCCAGAGCTTGGTTTGCTTGTACGCCCAGGCTCTGCTGCTGTTGCTGCTGGACCGCCACCTGTCCTAGGAGGTGCTGCTGCTGCTGCTGCTGCTGCTGCTGCTGTTGCTGCTGCTGCAGTTTCTGGGCTAGCTGCATGCGTTGCTGCTGCAGCTGCAGCTGCCTTTCCTGGAGAAGTCTCGAATCGGGTCCTAGGCCTCGAAGAGCCAGGTTGCCAGGGAAGAAGCCCCCTGAGGGGCCAGCCAGGGGCCCAGCCCCACCAGAATGTTGCTGTTGCTGTTGCTGCTGCTGGGCCAGAGAGGTGTTGAGGAAAGGGCCACCAGGCTGTCCGGAGAGTGTCATGCCCCCTGGGGGCAGGCGAAGACCTGCAGCTTGCCCTCCCGGAGGCCCCTGTGGCGGCTGCAGCCCGTGGCCCGGGAGCAGCTGGCTGGGGAGCTTGGTGAGGAGTCGGGGACTCTGGGAAGGGCTCAGGGCCAGCACGGCTGAGTGCTGCTGCTGCTGCTGCTGCTGCTGCTGCTGCTGTTTACTCCGGTATTCTGCCATGAGGTTGGTGTGCTCCTTCTGCTGCTTCCGGACCTAACACAGGAAAGTCGGGGCTCAGCCGGGAGCCTGCCCACCCATGACCTCCCTCTTCTGGGCTCCTGGTTACCAGGCTGAAGTCTGCTTTCCCTACCTGATCCAGTTGTTTCTGGATCTTGCTCTGTTGCTCTGTAACCAGCTTGAGCTTCTCAGCATCAGCCTCCGGGAACTCACGGCCAGCCTTTTTGGCAGTGCGCTGCTTGGCGCACAGAGCCTTCCGGGACTTGCGGTGCACACCAATCTGCTCCTCTAGCACCTTCAGCTGCATCTGTAGGAGCTGCTGGGTATGAAACAGCCATTCCTCATACTGCCGCTGGTCAGCTTCATCTGGGAAGGGAAACAGGATGTCAGGATCCACAAAAGGGAGATCAGAGTCCCTCCTCCTCCAACATCTGCCCCAAGCCACTCCCATGCACACTCCTTCCCATCCCCATACTCACTGATCACTCCCTGGGCAAAAGTGGGTGGGTTGGGACGAGGCTGGGAGGGGTCACCAGCACTCCGCTCCTGTGGTGAGAGAAACGGCTGAAGGGTCATTGTCACAAATCATGCCCTAAGAAGAGTGGCCCAATTGTGGAAGACACACGTTCCTACTCCCACCCTGATCGCTTACCTGGCCACTCCCAGCTGCCACATGGTTCTGCAGATCACTGCCAGGGCCCCCTGAGAGCCTCTGGGCTAGTAGGGACACTTGTTGCCTGGAGTCCGCCAAAACAGAGGGGATGTACAGGTCATGGGGAAAGTTGAAAGACAAAGAGATGGGACAAGTAGGGAGGGGGACCAGGAAGGAGAGGGGAAGGACTGTTGAAAGGAAAAGTGCCAACCACCCCCCCACCTCCCAAGTCTTACCTGTTCATACCAGGTGCCACTCCAATGCTGCCCTGAGCCATCACCTTCTTGATGCCCTTCAAAGCCACCATCTTGGCCTTTGCAATGGGATCAATTATATCTTCTGCTGCAAATTTGTCCAGATCTGGAAAGAGGAGAGCCAAGTAAGCTAGACACTGGATTCAATACTCCACTCTACGTCTGCTATGCCTTCCAATACCTTGACCTCCACCAAACCAAGCAGAACAAAGGAATGGCAAAAAAGTGGTGGAAAGACAACTAAGGAGCCAGGCAGCATGGGTGACTCAGCTTTACTGTTCACAAGACACGTGGCCCTGTGTTCACTTGCACGGTGCTAAGAAGAGATACTCAGCAAATATCTGTAGGGCCAACAAATCAATGTCACTTGATTTCTCTGACCCTCAGTTTCCTCCTCTGACAGAGCTCATGATTCCCTACTCTGCCTTCCTCACGGAACTACTGAATCAAACATGACCAAGACTGTGATTGCACCCTACGCCCTAGAAAACATTCTTCAAAGGCAACTACTGCAGCCCCAAAACCCAAGATATGGGCACTGTGCCAAAGTCCCAGATGCCAGAGCTGTTTTGGGCACAACATGCATCACCTCCGGCCCACTTTCATGCCTGTTCAGGACGCTGGGTAAAAAAGCAGGAATAAGCAACCTCCCAAAACAAAATCTTCCTAAAATCCTGCACACGTGTATTTCTCCACTACTCACAAAACCACCTCTCCATTTTTTAAAAGATCAACCAAACTCCCCCTCCTCGTATTTTGAGGCAATAAAAAAGTTAAGAGGATCAGAAAGCCAGGACTCAGAACTCTCACTCTGTCAGCTGTACGATCTGGGCAAGACACTTAACCTCCATGCCTGCATCCCTTTCTATAACTGAAGACAACAGCAGTACCTATCTAATGAATTTGCTGTGACTCAGTCAGATAATGGGTATAAAGTACTTGGCATACTGTTTAGCAAACAGGAATTCAATAAATGCTATTGTAATTTGAGATCTCCCACAATCTGGGCCCCCTCTCACATCCTCAAAATCAGGGTAGTGACCACTCACCTCCCGCCACAGAGAGTCCACTCCAGTCTGGCCACTCCACTGCTGTCTCCAGACGTACCCACTGGCTCCCCACCATCAGCCTCACGCAAGCGCTCGCACCTACCCGGACTGCTCTGCCCAGCACCACGTCTCTCCAGCTCACCTCCTGGTCTCGCCACAGCTACGAAGCCTTCACTAATCAAGCTCCACATGCTCATTCCATTCACTCCAACATCTGAAGGCCTGCTACATGCCAAGCACTGTCCCTCCCTTCGCAAAAGCTACACCACCTCTGCCTGCACTGTTAGCATGGCATTTAGCCCGTGCTCTGTGTGTCCCGCTTCCCTTAACTGGGGATTATCTTAGGTCTCCAGCTTCGGTGTCCACTTGGTGGTAACAGTGATCAGCCCTGAGGAGCTAAGCCAGTGGCCCTGGTTGAAGTTACCTGTATCCGGGAAGAAGCTGTTAGCCAGCTGCTGTTGCATGGCCAGCTGCTGAGGTTTCATGCACATGGAAGGTGGCATGGTACCCATGGGCTTCTGTGCCAGCACTGGCTGGGAACTCTGCTGGGGCACCAAGCCTGCCTGCCCCCCGTGCTGCCCACTTAGCACATGCCCTTGACTGGACACCATGGCCATGGATGGGGCCAGGCGCTGCTGCAGGGCATGTGCTGGTGGCTGGGTGGGCATCAAGGGTTGGGCCAAGCCTGGCTGTCGGGAACCTCCAAGTCCTAGGGCGAGCTGCTGCTGGGGCCCAGCCAAACTGGGAGAAGAGCCCTCGTGTGGCAAAGACATGGCCTGGGCAGGGCCTGGTGTGGACAGCAAGGAGTGCTGTTGCTGCTGTTGCTGGGCAGGCTGCAGCTGCGCTGAAAGCTGCTGCTTCTTCTGCAGCTCCTTCTTCTCATGCTCCAGCAGGTCCTCGATGAGCAGGGGTAACTCACTGGCTACGAGTGAGCTCTCCATCTTGTCCAGCTCATCCCCAGATGCTGCATGGCCACTGGGCAATGTCAAAGCCTCACTTTCTAGCTCAAACTTTTCCAGCAGGGAGGAACCTCCTGGGCCACTCAGAGGGCTGGAGGTCAGCAGGTGAGCTGGTGGTCCTCCTGTGGCCCCAAAGGGACCCTTCTCAGTTGTGTGCCCACTGCTGGAAAAGGGTCCTGTGCCCATCCGGGTGTCCCGGATGCCCATCACACTCTGTGCTGGCTTCAGCCCCAGGCCCAGGGAGGTGGTGGCAGGTGCTGGCTCTACCTTGGGGGTGGTAATGGCGAACTGGCAAGGGGAAGGGTGGCGCCCACCTTCCTCCACCTTGGGCTTCACCTCAGGAAGCCCTGATGCCAGACGGGGCTCACAGGCATCAGTAGCAGGGGGAGGGCGCTCCTCAGGACCCAAGGGTACTGGCTCCACCCCTCGTAGCAGGGCCTCCCGCTCAGCCTTCTCATTGGCTGACTCCACCAGCCTTAGGTGCTCATTGAAAATGTCCTTCTTGTCCCCCGTGTCCAGCTCAGGATCAGTATAGGCCAGCAGATCAAACTCATCCCCGTTGAGCAGGTCATCCAGGTGGGGGTCATTGGTCTCCAGGTTTTCCAGGGTGCCCAGCTCATCATCTCCCTTGGCCACGTCCACACCCAGGCCCAGGTGAGCAAGCTCCTCATCATCCTCTAGGGCCTTGTGGGCATCAAAGTCATCGTCCAGCTCGGGATCCTCGCAGGGTAACTTCCCAGCTTCCAGGGGCAGAGGAGGAGGGCGGCCAAGCTCAGTGCTTGAGGGGGGGCGGCTAACCAGCTCCAAGCCAGTGGGCAGGGAGGGACCTTTGGTGTGGGGCATTGGATGGAGACTGTTGCTCAGTTCAGGAACCGGAGGAACTGAGGGTTTCTGTGGGGGAAGGCCAGATACCGCTAGGCCTCGAAGCCCTTCAGGAGCCATTCGGTGGGAGTCCTCATTTACTGGGTAAAAACGGGGTCTCTGAGGGGGGCCCTGACCAGGAAACGGAGCCCCCCCAGGTCCTAGTCCTTTCTGTACATTGTGCCGCAACTCAATGAACTGGGCCGGGCCAGCTGGACCAGGTACTGGCTCCCCAGGGCCAGGCAGGCGGGTGGGAATCCCTGCCAGGGAGGAACCTAGGGCTTGGCGGCCAAGTTCAGGCCCAGGAGTTGATGGAAAGCGAGTAGACATGGCAAGTCGCATGGAGGTGGCTGCTGTTGCCTGCTGCTGCTGCTGCTGCCACAGTTGCTGCTGCTGCTGCTGCTGTAAGGGCAGGGACCCAGGGTAGGGTGCTCGCTGATAGAAGGCTTGGGAGCCTCCCACCAGTTGCCTGGAAGAACATGCAGTAGTCAGTACGACGAAATCAGGACGATGAGCTAGAACACAGGCTGCGGGCAGCGGGGAAGGATGGAGTCGCCGCAGTCAGAGGGAACGGGGAAGAAGAGTAAGTGACACCGGACGAGGGTCAGCCACGGGAAAACCAGGGGCAGCACACTGCATCGGTGAAGTCTGTTCCCTTGCTTTACCCCGAGGGAACCCACTTGGAGCCTCACCGGTTGTTCACATCCATAGAAGAAGGGGTGGCTGGTGGAGGGGGCCGGGAAAGTCGGTCATCGCTGGGAAAAGCCCCTGGCCCCAGGATGGGGCCACCCAACTTGTTTGGGGGGAGCCCCACAAGGTTACTCTTGTCCTAGGAGAGACAAAGGTAGATGAGGGTGGCCACCTTCAGCACCTGGGAACCCCCCCCCCAACCCTTTGCCACTCTACCTGGGTCCCGGTGAAAGGGGTCTGGCCGCGACTCAGCTGCTCAAAGGCAGGGCTGCTGGGCTCAGCACCCCAGCTGCCCGGGGGCCCTACCACTCCTGCAGCTGCCGCAGCTGTCTCCTTCTCCTGCCGCAGGGTATTGCGCTGGATCTGCTGCCGAATTAGCAGCTCCCGGAGTCGCTGGCGCTGTGCGGAGGACAGACAAGCGGGGTCAGTCCGCTCTACTCCAATCACAGGGCTGGCATAGGGACAGCAGAGGGATGGGGGTGTGGGGGGTTCACTCCCAGATATCCACCCACCTGCCGCTGCTTCTCCAGTTCTGTTTGGCTGAGGCTGGACATGCCCGGGTCCTGGGTACCTGGAAGTTCGGGTGCTGCCAAAGAGCTGCCCATTCCAGCCCCTGGGTCTTCTCGCTTATCGACCGGCGAGGTGATGCCTGCCCGCTGTGAGGCTCCATGGGACAGGTAGGGGAGGGATCCATCGGGTGCAGGCGGCGGTAGGACTGATGGGGGGCGTAGTGGGGACAGCCCGAAGCCCTCTCCTGTGGACCCGCTGCTGGATCCCAGGGGGCTGCCCGATGGGTGGAAGTTCCCTGTGGCTACTGTGTAGTTTGTGCTTTGAGGCTTGCCCAAGGTAGGGCCGGGCCCAAAATGGCTGTTGATCCCATGGGGTGGAGGGAGACCAGGCTGAGGGACAGGGGGCTTTAGGGAAGGCTCCCCTACTGCCTGAGGGAAAGTGAAACGCATGGGAGAGGGAGTGCCCACAAAAGCACCCGTCCCAGGGGACCGGGCGAAATTAGGCGGCTGCCCACTTGGGACCTTAGCATGGAGCTCACCTGCCGGCCCTGAGGGCAGGGCTGCTGGGAAGCCCCCAGCCCCCAGAGGAGTGTGGGCTAGAGGACCAGCCTTGAAGGCAACTTCAGGGGGCTGGGGTCGGGGTGGCTTATGCAAGGGGGCAAAAGGGTCACGGGACTGAGGGCGTGAGGGTGGACGGGAATAGGGATCAGGGGACTGGAAACGAGGGGTAACGGGGGATGGGCAAAAAGCCTCGGCAGACAAAGGACGGGGTGTTAACGGAGACTGGGAGCTGGACTGGGACTGGGGACTGGCGGGCACTCGGGAGAAAGGGTCTGAGGGCAATGAGCGAGGGGGCAGGCCACAGCAGCTCTCAGGGGGTGGGGGTTGGGGCCGAGGGGTCAATGGGGGCTGGGCATAAGGGTCAGGGTAGGGGCCAGGGCGAAAGATGTCCGAGTGGCTGGGGGAGGAAGGGGCCAAAGCCTGGGCAGGGGGTGGCTCCTGGGGCCTTAGGCCCAAGCCCGGGCTCTGGGGCTCTACCTGAGATGCCCGAGGGGTCAGGGGGGCTTTGAAGACATCAGGTGCCTTTAACTCCAGGCTGCCCAGGTTGGGGCCTGAGGAAGGTGAGTCAACAAAGCCTAGGTTTGGGGGCCCATAGCTAGGAGAGGATGCCCCGAGCTCTTCCTTCTTCACCTCTAGGGCCTTCCGAGACTCCCCAAAAGGCGGGGGCGACAGCAGGGGCTCGGTAGCCTTGCCTCCCCCTATCCCTGGGCTCTCAGGCACAGCCAGGTTGTCCAGTGAGGGGCAGCGGGGCTTGAGAAAGGGGTCAGGTGTGGAGGGCTGGTGTCGGGGGGTGCCAGGTGGGGTAGTGTGGAATTCCCCTGGCTGGCCAGTCCCAGGACGAGACGAGGCGCCCAGCGTCAGGGGCTGTGCGGGGGCCCCAGTCGGACTAGGATAAGGAGGATAGGTAGGTGGTGCCGTGGGGAAGCGGGGCTCCAGAGCGTAGGCGGGGGCCAGTCCAAAGGGGTCCTGCGAAGGCACTTGGGCGGGCACCTGGGGTGGGAGCTTGAGGAAGAGCTCACCGGGCGAGTCGGGGCCGGGCACTGTACCCGCTGGCGGCTTCAGGAACCCATCCGCAGAGGTAGACAAGCCGGCGGGGGTTGTGGGGCTGCCAATGAAAATGGTGGGGGCAGCAGCAGGGGGCGGACTGCCCAGTGCCCCTGGCTGGGGGGGAATGCGGAGATGTAGGGCCGGTCGGTCAGTCTTACGGGCCATGTCGCCCACCTTGGTCTGCTTGTTGATCTGGCTCTCAGCCTGCTACAGGGGGAGACCAGGCACAGAGCAGTCAGGCTGCTGGGGCAGGTGCTATGTCCCCCATATCCTCCGAGAGGTCCCCAGCTACAGGACGTGAATGGCACTGCCCGGCCCAGCCCAGCCCCCACTCACCTTTTGCACCTTGTTGATGCGGTGAGCTGCCCGGTTATCTTTGGCCTTTTGCTGAGGGAGATAGGACACAATCTTAGGCCTACCAGGGCTCAGTTTCATGCCCAGCACCCATTCCTCTGTCCCTCACTCCCTACCCAGAAGGGGATCCCTTCTGGCCCAGTCACTTTGGGAGTGGGGAACTGCAAGAATTGAAGTGAATTTCCCCAAGACACCCCCGAGCCCCAGTTCCCACCCTGACCCAGGCTCCCTTCCGTCTAACCAGGTAGGGGGCTTTGTCAGCAGCTGGAACTTTCCTCCAGAGCTTCATGATTTGTTTGCAACGGCTAGACCAGTCTGAAAGGCAGAAGTATCCCATTAGAGGAGACCTGGCAGGTGACCCCTGTGCCCACATTACCAGGTGGTTTCCCCTGCCCCTATCCCATGGGTACCTGGGTAATCCTGTTTGAGGTTGGGAAAGTTAATGTTGGCATAGAGCACAGGCGAGATGGTGGAGAGCTGGCCCAACTCCTCATCCTTCTCCCAGCGCTGAAGGCTCCGCTGGTTATAGGAGAGCCCGTCGCCCTCACCCTCCGTGGTGGGGGTGGTGGGGGTGGAGGGCGTGGTGCCCCCCGAGCCTGTCCAGGGGCTGTCTGGCTCACCGGGTTCCGGGCTAAAGAAGCCCCCGCGCTCCCTGGGGCGCAGGGGCAGAGAGTCACAGAGGGCAGGAATGCCAAGCCCCACACCCAGACAAACTGCCTAGAGCCCCCAGGCCACTGCCCTGCCCCTCCCCCGCCCAGAAGGGTCACTAACTAAGGAGCAGAGGGAAATGTTGCTACAGTAGCACGGAGAAGTCCAAGGTCTCCTCCCTAGGCATGGCCCTAGTGGGACGGAAGGGACAACAGGGACTGCCTACCGAGGTTAAGCACAGATACCAACCTAGAATCCAGGAATGGGGACTGGCAGAGGCCCGGGTAGGAGTCCATTGGGCTGCTGGAGGGGAGACTGCCCAAAGGGAGTCCACCTACAAGAGGCACAGGATCAGAGAAAGGGAGGAAGAGGCCCATCCTGGGGCAAGCTTGCCCAAACCTGGCCACCCAGTCTTCACACTACTCCCATCCACATCACCTTGAAGGAAGGGTCTCTGCAGCGGTGTCCGGCTGCCGTCTGGGCCAGGGGTCCCACAACCCAAATGCTGCTCTCGTTCAGAACCCAGAACATCCTTGAAGAGCTGCTGCAGGTCCTTGGATTCCATCTTGGGCAGTTCTGTGGGGGGATTGATGAAGGATGCCACTGAGGAAGACTAAGAATTTGAGGGGACACCACAGGGCTACAAAAGCCCATGGTCAGGGAAGGCGCCCAAGACTCCCACCAAAGAAGCTATGCAGATGGCAGTCCCACAGGTAGGACCTTGTCCTTCTCCTACAGAAGACTCTTACCCATGAACAGAGTAGGCCATAGCCTCACCTTCTGTGGGAATTCTATCTAAGTCAGAGCTGAGCATCCCTTCACCCGGAGTGCCTGGCTTCTCGGGGTCACTGGGTACTGGGGATGCCTTGGCGCCTCCATCCTCAGGTCCTGCAATTGCCAGGACAAACCCATCAGCCAAGGACAGTGCAGAGGCCCCAGCCTGGCCACCCTGAACCACTGAGGGCGGGACACAGCTGCCAGCCTCCAACCCAGGTGGTGCTCAGTGGCAAAACCAAGACAGGACACAGTCCTCCCAACAGCTCTCACCTGGTGTATCAGCCTTGCCCTCAGGGCCTCGGGATTCTTCATCTGCAACATCTGGGCCATCATCTCCTATGAGCAACAGACCCCACTCCAGTCAGAGATGCCCCACACCTGGTGCCCAGAATGGGCCTCCAGCTCCACATGCCAGGGCCTAGGCCCACCCTCAATTTCAGGAGATAAGCCTGTGCCCTACCAGATTCCCTCACCAGCTCCCAAGCACAGGGAAATGGGATCCCTTCAGACCACCTCGCCTCCACATGACTGACCTTTCTGTGAGGTAGGGAGCTCCTTCCTATCTGAGCCTCCATCCCCCTTGGCTTTGGGGGTTCCTAGTCCAAAACTTGGCCGGCCCACTCCAACTGCAAAAAGGGCCTTTCGGCTCAGGTCCAGCAGCTCCTTCCCAAAGAAAGCTTCCTGCAGAAGAAGTAAGAGAAATAAGCTTCTCCACAGTCTGCAGGGCGGGTGCTCCCCTCCCCCCATGGAGCCTCAGACCCACCTGCAGATAAGCGGGAAACATGTCTTCCAGTTTACTCTTCTTGCGCCCTCGCCGCTGCTGCTTCTTCTTCTCATCCCCATCAGCTAAGTTCTGGTCCACGGGGCCCTCAACAGGCAAGTCTACAGGCATCACTGGGAATAGAAGGGGGGTGTCATTCCTCTCAGGGGCTATGAGGCATGTTGCTCCTCACTTGGCTGAGGGATGCTCTCTGCCTACTCTCTCCCCAGTGGAGTTGAGCCCACCAACCTCTCGGCCCTTCGTGAGCCCTCACCCCCTGGGCCTCCCTGGCAGCGCCCCTAGTCCCTGTGATCCCCACCTTCTCCCAGACCCCACTGGAGCCCTCACCCGTCTCACCCTCGTCGGGCTGCCCATCCCCACTCAACACCTCCGCCTGTGCAGCAGGCCCCTTTTTCACACGTGTGTGAGATTTCCGCTGTCGCACCATGAAACCGCCGATGCCTGTGAGGAGGCAGAGCAGAGACTGAGAAGCTGCGGGGGACCTGGTAAGCTCTCTCTCCCCACGCACCTTCCCCATCCCAGGGCCTCACCAGGCCGATAGGGTTTGCGTTTGCGTTTCTTGCTTTCCTCGGTCTCCTCTCTGCCAGGCTCCACATCAGGGCTGATGGGGCCTTCCAGCTTCATTTCGCATTCCATGTGCTCCACGCCACCTGTGGTTGGGGATGAGAAAGAGACACAGAGGGAGAGAGAGAGAGAGAGGAAGATGAGAGGCATGGACCCTTTTAACTTTGTCATCCTGCCATCCAAGAACACAGAACCCGGGCCTTGCCACAGAGCCACCTGGCAAGACCAACAGTCGCTTGAGAGGGACTAGGAGTAGCAATGCTGCCCCACCCAATATCCCACTCTCCCAGGCATGTTCCTGCTCCTTAGCCACTCCCTGGAATCCCCCAGCCTGACCTTCACCCTTCAGCAGCTCATCAGTGTCCAGGTCCCCATCCTTCTTGTCATCAGGGCCAAGGGCATCCGAGGGCTCAGAGCCCTCCAGCCCTGCCTCGCCTGGAAGGCCTAGCCGTCCTCGCCGTTGGCGCCGCTTGTGCAGAGGGGACATGGTCAGGTTACGCAGCACAGCCATGCCGGTTTCTGTCAGCCACACACCCTCGAAGCGGAAGTACTGAGGCTCTGCACAAAGGGGAAGAGCGCATCACCCCTGGATGGAGGCCCCAGAGAAACCAAAACTCCCAGTTCCAGCCTAAGTCCCCAGCTGGGACAAAAGCAGCTAAAGACAGACCAAAACCAACACTGGGGTGTGAGGGCTGGAGAGACAGGCCACCAACGGGTGCCAGCTGTGGCCCAAGTTCTCCATCAGTGACCCAGAAGGGTTCACAGGCTACTACAGAAGCCTGACTTTGCTCATGACTAACACTAGTTCACCAGTATATTCTCTAGAAGCTTGGGCCTGCAGAATGGCAGCACATGGGGCCCTGGATGCCAGGAGCAGTGCCCGCATCATGACGGAGGAGGAGATGGCCTCAGCCTCCTTCCTGGAGAAAAACAAGTCGTATTCTGTGCTCTCTGGAAAAGAGATTCTGGCAGTGCAAAGGCCATGTTGCCTAGTGGAATGAACTCTGCCTAGGAAAATGGAAGCCTTGGTTCTCATCCTAAGTTAACCACTAACCTACTGGGTTGATCCTGGGCAGGCCATTCAACCTCCGAGCATCCTAGTTTCCTCCTCTGAAAATGAGGAGATGAGGCTGGGGGTAGTGAGAGCCAGACCAGACAGTGTCTGGGTCTCCTCCGGCCTTGGCACTTAGGATTTCTGGGACTCACCTGGCTCTTTCACCTTCATAGGCACCAACTCTGGGGGGGCAACAGGCGCTGTGGAAGAGACAGGCAAACCAAGGCCGCTTGAGGCCCTGCCCCAAAGCAAGGCAGCCCTGCCCTGACCTCTTTGCCCCTCTCCCCAGCACCTGGCACTCACCAGCAGGCTTTACCACATAGGGCTGGCAAGAGACACAGTCAAAGCCCTCATCAGCGGCTTGCTCCACATCGTCTTCTGTGAAGAGGCTCTCACAGCCAGCATGCATCCACCTGCAGGAAAGGAGACAGGAAGCAATAAACGTAGACCGAGCAAGGAGGAGAACAGGGAAAAGGCCTCTATGAGGCAAGGGGGCACCCTCACCGTTCACAGTGGCGGCACTGGATGAGCAGGTCCTCTTCCACATATGGGGCGTGACAGATAGGACAGGTCACCAGGCTGGCGCAGGGCCCACAGTGTGTGTAACTGTTCTGCCATTCACAGTGGAAGCCAGGGGAGGCGGCCCCACACTGCATACAGGACACACACCTGGCAGTAGCAGACACACAGACCTTCAGCGCCTAAGCTGCCCAAGGCAACCAGAGGCACTGAAGCAACCAGCCCCCGGCTTTCTACACCCAGGCTCTGTCATGTTAGCAACATCCCAGCCCTCCAGCATCTCCGGCCCCGGCCCCTCAAGAGCCCAGGCCTCCTTACCACTTGCACTTCCAGCCACCCTTGGGTACGGTGAGCAGTGGCGGGTCCAAGCAGTATGTGTGGTAGCTAATGTCACAGTCATCACAGAGCAGCAGGCGTGAGGGGTCCGAAGCTTGGCCACACACCTCACACACGATGCACTCCACACAACGCCAGCCCTTCAGCAGCATCACCTTGGTGATCTGGTATATGATATAGCAACTCCTCAGAGTAGGACACACAAGACAGGACAGACCGCTCGAGGCGGGTGGGACTTGCCATGGGAGGGCTGAAGGACCTCAGGGCTCATCTCAGCACAGGAAGGCCATGCCAAGCACACTCGTCCCCAAAAGCAATGGTTCTAAACTTAGGCTCCTGGGGATCGCCACCGATCAGAGAACAGCCTCACCCAGCCATTGCCTCATGACCATCTCTCACTAGCCAACTCTCCAGAAAGAAAGAAAGACTGTGGGTAGAATCAGGTTGTATTTCCCCCAATTTTTCTTAAACATTTAGAACCTACCACTGTTAAGAGTTAATGAATGTTAGCAGTGAACAAGTTCTAAATTAACAACAATGAAAACCCCAAAACAAGTGATCCCACTTGGGTCAAATGCAGTGCTTTCTCCTTGTACACACGTGCTTCTGATTTTGATTTTATACTTTATCTCCAGGCCATATCACGTTTCCTATTAGTAAAGCTCTCACAGCTTATACAATAGATTAAATTATTCCAGTAAATCATGGTCTACCACTGAGAAACTTAATAAAGACCACCATGATTTCCAGAGTACTTTGCCCCATGATGAGTCTGATAACCACTAGTAACTGGTAAGTAACTTCTATGACCAAAAGCCACCTTAAATAGTGTGACCACAGGGTGCCTGGGTGGCTCAGCGGGTTAAAGCCTCTGCCTTCGGCTCAGGTCATGATCCCAGGGTCCTGGGATCAAGCCCCGCATCGCATCGGGCTCTCTGCTCAGCAGGGAGCCTGCTCCCCCCCGACCCCCAACCTCTGCCTACTTATGATCTGTCAAATAAATAAATAAAATCTTAAAAAAAAAAGTGTGACCAAAGGACTCCTGGGTGGCTCAGTGGGTTAAAGCCTCTACATTCGGCTCAGGTCATGATCTCAGGGTCCTGGGATCGAGCCCTGCATCTGGCTCTCTGCTCACCAGGGAGCCTGCTTCCTCCTCTCTCTCTGCTTGTCTCTCTGCCTACTTATGATCTCTGTCAAAATAAATAAATACAATCTTAATAAAGTAAAATAAAATAAAATAAAAATAAATAGTGTGACCAAGTGTCAACTCTACTCAAATTTAAAAAAAAAGAAAAAAGATAGTGTGATAAGAACCGTGGCCTAAGACGAGAAGTAACTGACTCCATTCCCTAGCCCAGGCCTCTTGGGCCTTGAACTCACCTTGCTGTTGACACAGTAAGGGTGATAGCACTGAGAACACTGGGAACAGGCAAGAAGGTGGCCCTCTGCCCCCCGGCCAAAGCTGCCACATACCACGCACATGTCCTAGAGAAACACACAAAAAAACCCAATGACCTAGTCTCCTCATCTCAATCAGTCCCAGAGACCAACTACAACACTAATCTGAAAGGAGGGAGTCCCATACCCCATCATCAGACACTTAGCCATCACCAACCTGTTCCTTCCTAGCATGCCTTGCTCATCTGCCCATGACCATGTACCATTTGAATTGGTACATCCTGACATGGGTAGAAGGAAGGAGAAGTAAAAGGAAGGTAAGAAAGGTAAAGACTAGTCAAGATGAGAGAGTAGCATATCTGACAAAAGTCTATGAGCTCTGAGATAATTCAGGTGAGAACGTACGTGAACCTCCCTAAACCACAAGCTTCAATAAGGCAGGTACCATTTCTTGCCTTTTTCACTGCTGTACCCCTTGCTATCCTAGCTCAGTGCCAAGCTCAGAGAAGAAACTAAAGAAAAATTTGACGGATGGACAAACAAATGAGCACCATGATCCTGATTCACTGTTTTCTCATTAGCTCACTATCCCCAGAGAAGCAGGTCCTTGGTTTGGTTTTCCTCATTTACCCTCCCACTGCAATACGCACACCCACTGCTGGGTCGGCCAGGTCTCAGTGCTGAGGACAGGACACCAGACAGGTACGGTACCTGCATGAGGACAAACTTGTCTGTGTTGGAGAAGAGAACCACAGTATTTTGCATGGTGTCGTCATCGTCGTCTTCCTCCTCTTTGCTGGGAGAGCTATCGATATCAGCAACCTTACAGGCAGAGAGTTGTGGCAAGTGAGGCAGCTGGGTCTGGCCCCGCTAAGCTGCTTTCCCCTTTGGTGTTGGGGGAAGGAGGTGTGAACCTCTGGCTAAGATGAAGGCCAGGAGCCAGGACTAAGAAGCAGAACACCCTAGCTCCCAAACCAGGCCTCAGCCTGACAGCAGAGATTTCAGAGAAGCCTGGGGGCCGGGTGGACAGAAGGAGCACAGGCAGAGCTGGCCAGGCCCTAGGCTAGCAGGTAGGTAGGTGAGCGTGCAGGGGACTGGCAGGGTGTTTAAAGGGTGTTTAATTCTGAAGGGACCAGCTGAAGCATGTTTGGGAAATGGGAAACCTCTCCTTACTACCAGAGTCTCAATGGAAGAAGTAGTTGATTTTAGCCGGGCCCGTCCTCTCCCACGTCCTCCATGTGCTCCTCCACGAGGCCGACGTCTTCCTGGGAAACTACTGCTGCGACCCTGAGTGACAGAAGAGGATGATTACAGCAGCAAGTCAGGAGCTTGTCATCCCACAGGGTGTTGGTTCCATGGGCTTGGGGGGCGGGGAGAGAGGAAAGGAATGGACAGAGCATGATAGGTGATAAGGCCCAGGAGTCCCAGTCTGGGCAGGGGAAAAGCCAAGCTCTCAGTCAGCAACAGGGAGGTAGGTCCAGCTCAAACCATTCCCCTGTCCCAAGGAGAAAGAGTGGCCAACATGGCACAATGAGAAAAACAGTAGCTAGAGAGACCTGAATTTCTAGACCTTACTCTCCTACTGGGTAACCACGAACCCTGACAATTCACCTCCCCCTCTATCAGTATTCCCCTTATAGAAGTTAGAGAATGAACCAAAGGATCTCTGAGAGTCTACAATTCAATAAACCAGGTGGGAAGCTAACAGTGATGCAGGACCACACCCCTGAGAGTGGCATCACACGGACCACAACCAGCGGCCTCTCACCTGTTTGATGCGGGAACGAGCTGGGGAGCTGCGCCGCCTCCCCTTGTCCCCCTCGGCTTTGCCTCCGCCAATAGCTGTCCCGGAATCACACAGCAGCGAGTCATCAGTCTCTGGCAGCGAGTCAGTACAGAGCCGCAGGGAGCCCTCATCTCGGGCTGGACTAACGTCTGTAGATACCCCCAGCTCCATGGACAAGGAGCCGCCCCCCTCGGGGTCGGGAGAGCCTAGTAGGGGCTCTGAGCCAGGAAAACTGGCACTGGCATCACCCTGGCTCAGATTAGAAATCTCATTAACAATGTCGGATTTGATGAGAGTGGGTGGGGTAGGGGCCACTGGGACACGTGGCTCCTCTTGCTCTTCACAGGGTGAACCCTGCACTGCCTGCTTGCCTTCTGGGCCATAGACCTCCATAGGGGTCACAGGGGCCAGCTCCTCGGGGTCCAGGAGCACAGGGGAACCCTTAAGTTCACTAGCCAAGCTGCCAGGGGTCTGTCCAGCCTCTGGCTGTGAACCAGGAGTGTCAGTCCCATCCAGGGGGGCTGTGTCTTCCCCCAGACCAGAGAAGTCATCCAGAGGTGGGGCAGGGCTGGCTGCAGGGCAGGACAGGTTCCCCATGGGGGAGGGGAGAGGACTAGTAGGGCTGGGTTCCAAGGCTGGACACTCAGGCTCTGGGACTTTCTCAGTCTCCATCTCATGTGGCTCAGCCTCCTCTGAGACCTCCACTGCCTTCTCCATGGGACTCAGTGGGGAGGGAATGGACAGTGGCAGAGCAGGAAGAGAGCACTGGGAAGGAGGGGAATTTGGGGGAGGGGGGGAATGCTGCAGGAGTGGAGAACACTGAGAGGGAAGTGGCTCCATCAGGATGGGAGAGGCTGGTCCCATTGGGGAGCCTGGAGATGGGGGGAGGATCATAGGAGGTACAGGCTCAGGGTCAGTGCAGTTAGCTTCTGGTGGGGGGCTGATGGGTGTCTCAAGGATGGGGGCAGCCAACGGCGACTCAGGGTCACTGTCCCCTTTGGCACCAAAGGGGTACTCTAACTCCCCCAAAGGAGACAGAGCCGGCGGGGCCACAGCTGTGATAATGGGTGAGAGCGGAGGAGGAAGAGGATCTGGAGAGAAAGAGAAAAAGAGAGGCCCTTAGATTAGATGTGCCATAAAGAATTAAGACTGTCCCAGATAAGGGGTTACTAACATCCCCTTACCTGGTGGCATCAGCTGAGGTGACAAGGATGGCTCCCCGGACACCCGCAACTCCTCCGGCAGGGGGGACAGAGGTGGTTCCCCAGGCTCAGACAGGGTCGGCTCTCCAAGCAAGGGGGATAAAGGTGGCTCCCCAGGTGGGAGGAACAAGGGCGATTCCTCAGGTGCAGGACATAGGCCTGGCTCCTCGGGGGGCTCTTCAGGTCGAGGGGACAGGTGCGGTTCCTCAGGTCGAGGGGACAGGCGTGGTTCCTTTGTCTGGGGGGACAGGCCCAACTCCTCAGGCCGGGGGGACAGGCGCGGCTCCTCAGGCCTGGGGGACAGGTGCGGCTCCTCTGGCTGGGGGGATAGGCACGGCTCCTCAGACCCAAGGGACAGGCGCAGCTCCTCAGGCACAGGGGACAGCTGTGGCTCCTCAGGCACAGGGGACAAGCATGGCTCCTCAGGCCGGGGGGATAGGCGTGGCTCCTCAGGCCGGGGGGACAGACAGGGCTCCTCAGGCCCAGGGGACAGGTGCAGCTCCTCAGGGGCAGGGGACAGGCATGGCTTCTCAGGCCGGGGGGATAGACGCGGCTCCTCAAGCCAAGGGGACAGACACAGCTCCTCAGGCGCGGGGGACAGGCATGGTTCCTCAAGTACAGGGGAAAGGCGCGGCTCCTCAGGCTGAGGGGACAGGTGCGGCTCCTCAGGCCGAGGGGAGAGGTGGGGCTCCTCAGGCTGAGGGGACAGGCACAGCTCCTCAGGCCGGGGGCAGAGTCGTGGCTCCTCAGGCAGTGGCAACAGGGATGACTCCTCTAGCGGTAGGGTCATAAGTAAGTCCTCCGGGGGTGGAGAAGCAGGCGAGTCATCAGGAGGCGGGGAAGTGGGTGAGTCCTCAGGTGGTGGGAATAGGCGTGAAGCCTCGGGTGGAGGGGACGTAGGAGACTCCTCAGGTGGTGGGGACAGGGGAGATTCCTCAGGCGGTGGGGACAGGCGTGACACCTCAGGCAGGGAGGACAGGCATGATACCTCAGGCGGGGGGGACATAGGTGAGTCTTCAGGTGGTGGGGACATGGGCGAGTCCTCAGGTGGTGGGGACAGACGTGATGCCTCAGGTGGTGGGGAGAGGGGAGACTCCTCCGGCGGCGGGGACAGGGGTGATTCTTCAAATGGTGGGAACAGACGCGATGCCTCAGGCGGTGGAGACATAGGTGACTCTTCAGGTGGAGGAGACATGGGTGACTCCTCAGGAGGTGGAGAGAGGCGAGATGCTTCAGGTGGTGGGGAAGTGGGCAACTCCTCAGGTGGGGGAGAAAGGGGAGACTCTTCAAATGGTGGGGACAGGGGTGACGCTTCAGGCGGTGGAGACAGGGGTGTCTCAAGTGGAGGAGACGGGGGTGACTCCTCTGGTGGAGAGAACGGTGACTCCTCCAGTGGAGAAAAAGGTGATGATTCAGGTGGAGGAGACAGAGGAGACTCCTCAGGTGGTGGAGAGAGGGGTGATTCCTCTGGTGGCGGGGACAGGCGCGATGCCTCCGGTGGTGGGGATGTGGGCGATTCCTCAGGTGGTGGGGACAGGGGTGACTCCTCAGGTGGGGGCAGCAGTGGCATCTCCTCGTTTAGGGGGCCCTCCAACTGGGGCTCAAGTTGGGCCCCTGCTCTCCCTGCAGACATAACACACTATGTTCCCACCTAGCCCAGCTCCACTGCACAGAGTCGGCAAAGCAGACACCACCCCTTGCCACAGAACAGACAGGAATCACTTCCAGGGACCTGCAAACCCCACTCACCTAGTGGTTTGGCTTCACAATGCAGGGGCCCCGGTTCCTTGGGTTGCATGGAGGTCACGTGCCCACCCTTTGGCTGCCCTTGGCATGCGACGTACAGAGCTTCAGGCTCATCGGTGGGGGTATCGCCAGGCTCTGGGGGTGAGAACCTGCAGAGGGTACAGGGGAGCAGACACCACGGCTCTTGTCAACTCTCAGTCCCTAGAGAGCACCCTGGAGCGAGGTGTGAATCCTGTGGATCCTACTGCCTACCTTGGGGCTCTCCTCTCAAAGTCACACGTCCCCTGCAGATCTCAGTACTTCCAAACCCCCCAACCCTCTCTCTTCCGGTCCATTTACCTGCTACAGGTGGGGTGATGCTGCTCAGCAACAGAACCAACAAGCTGTCCTCCCTGGGCTTTGTGACAGCGGTGACACAGTGAGTAGTTTTCAAACCACTCAGAGTTGGGATTCAGCTCAGCTGAGCCAGCCCCACAGGCCCGGCATACCCGGCATGCCTAGGGGGAGCAAGCAGGTGAAACAGGCACTGGTCAGAGAGCAGCCCAGAAGAGAGCACAGGACTCTGCACAACACAGAAACAGGAGGTTGTAGAAGGCAGAGTTAGGGGAGGACGGCCAACTTGGGGGACAGTCACCTTGCACTTCCAAGAGTGAGCAGGCAGTTCCTCCATTGGTGGTTTTAGGCAGAAAGTGTGGTATCCTTTGTCGCATGTCTCACAGACCAACATCTTAGAGTCATTCCCAGGTTTCCTGCAGGAACATGGGGCACACAACAGGGTCCCACCTCCCCTTATTTTCAACCCTAACTCCTGCTTCACCTGAGGGTTCTCTCCCGGCCCCCTTGTCTTACCTGCAGGCTTGGCACACTTTGCACTCAGGGCACTGCCAGCCAGCACGCTTGCGGGCAGTAAGAGCAGTGTCCAGGCAGGCCCCGTGATAGTGATGCCCGCAACTGGTACAGAAGAACAGGTCACACAATTCCCCGGGCCCCTCACATACTGCACAGCGAGCCTCCTCTGGAGTGGGAAGACAGAGGACATGGGTCAGCTATCGGTTCCTTGCAGGACTCAGCAGAGCGCTCTCTCCATCAGGAATTCCGGAGACACAGAATGAACCAGGAACACCACCGTAAGGAAGACAGGCAAGAAGTCCCTGTGCTCACAGAGCCCCCCCTCTATTCTAGTGGGGCATACAGACGGTGCTCTGCAGAGCACAAAGCCCCGGGGACACACATGGCCCCCTCATGCGCCCTACGGCCAGAGGGCAGGGCTTCTTACCCAGATGTGCAGCCCCCTCACTGTGCTCTGGGCATAGCAGCTGCAGTGTTTTCATGGACAAGAAGGAACCGCTGGCAGTCGCACAGGGGAAGTGGTAAAGCCGTGGACATCCAGGCGAGCGGCAAGGGATGGAGGCTCCGAACCTGGCGCAGTGGGAGCAGCGCTGCCAGGTTGGAGACAGAGTGTCAGGGCACCCCCTGCTCTCTCCAGAGCAACAGATCAGGCACCAGCTCCGCCACCGTCTACCCACTGCCCTTCTCACCCTACCCTCTCACAAGCCCACTGGCCCTGCTCACTCCGCCCTTTGCCTATGCAATCTCTTGGCCCCAGCCCCACCTGTGAGATCCCTGAGAAGATGGCCTTGTCCACACCACATAGTTCTGGGCCCTCCTGCCCCCATACGCCTGCCGACCACGAAGCACACCAATGGTGAGCCCAGCAGGACCCTTTATAATGGAAAGGGGTAAACAGAAACGACAGAGTTAGCAAAAAGGTAATCACTGGCTCAGGACCAGCCAGCCCTTACCCCCTTTACCACCCAAGTCAGCTACCCCACTTCCCCTCACTTACCTCCAGGTTCTCCCAGGTGGGCAGGTGTCAGGCCCTCAGGGAAACCGATCTGTGACAGGTCCTCACTAGGCAGCGCTGCCTCGTTGGGCCCTGGGTTCCCCCCAGGGGACACCACTGGACACTGGGGCCAGTCAAATGGCAACTCAAAGCGCCGTAGTTCCCGCTGCCCATGTAGACTGGGCTCCCCACAGTTACAGAGAGCACAACGCCGCGCTGGACCCCCACTGTGGACACACAAGCGTCAGCACCATGGCAGGCCCCTGCCCAAAGGTGACCCTAACAGCCCCGTGAATTGGCATGCCTGATTCCCAAACACTCATCTTCCTCAATCTTCCTCCTTAAAAGCTGAGACCCTCAAATCAAATCTTTGTGTGCCCTTATATCCTCATTTCCCCAAACTAGTTACCTGCAGTCCTGGGGAGGATCCTGAAGCCTAGGACCGCCAGAATTGGGCACAGAGACCTCCCCCACATGCGGGTTAGGAAGGTCTGGCTCAGTGGTGCCTGACTCCTCAGAGGCCGCAGGTCCATCAGCTGAATGAACAGAGAAGCATAAGCATACATCCGGCCTCATCCTCTGTGTGATGTTAGTCCACCCATCAGACCCATGAGAGTAACCAAAACCCTTGGTCGATCATAGTAATGACAATTTGCCTTTTATTCCAAAGAACAAAGTCCTTCAATTACCCATCTATTACACAGACTTAGCTCCTGAAACCTAAGGTTGCCTGGGGAGGGCAGAAGGCTACCAGCAAATGCAGAATTTGCCCTACTCACCTGCCGGTTCTGAATCTTTATCCTCACCAGGCGGCTTCTGGCTGTCCATCCCTCTCTCCGACTGGGCAGGGCCCTCTCGGGGAGACCTGTCAGAGCCAAAAATAAAAGATCTACATGTCTAGTAAGTCTTCCCAACTAAACACTTTCCCCAGAATCCTAGAAGGAAAACAGCTATTGCTAACTGGACTTTACAGAAAGCCGAGAAAAGCCATACCTACAAATTCCTGTTCTAAGGACAAGGAAGGTTTTTCTCCCTAATCCTTATCCCACTGCCTTCCTTCCTTCCCGGATAAACTCATACCCTATTCTCCCACTCTGGATTCTCAGGGGATCCTCTCCCCTCTCCCCCTTCCTACCTCCTGCATGAGAATTCCCAGGGTAAGAGCATCCAACTAGAAACACATCCAATCTATATCTAGTACCACCCTTTGCCTCATGTCTGAGTTCTCGGCTCCTGGTGGGCCCTATTCCCTGGAGTTTTTCCTCGGATCTCAAGTCAGCTACCATCCTAGAGGTATGTCAGTGCCAATCCAAGGGTAGCCATAACCCGAAAAGTCTTAGTCCAGTCAAAGTCCCTCTCCCAGAGATAGAGTCTGAGGCCTTGTAGGATGGAGAATACATTACTGAAACTAAAGCCCAGCTAGGGATGGATCTCTCCCACTTCCACTGGTTTCAACCAGGAGATCCCAATCACAACAGAAGAAACTCCCCAATTTCCCCTGGACTGCCTATCCAAATCCAGCTCAGACCCCTGCTATGACTGAGCTCAGGATCTCACCCAGCCTGAAGGCCTCAGGTCGTTGCCCTTAGCAACGCCAACTGCCCTTCCTCCTCAGATGTCCCTAGTAGTTAACAGAAGTGGGCCTTAAGAGTTACTGAGCATGTGTAGCCAAGCCTGAGGCTAAGGCATGCTGGGAGTTGTAGTCTCAGGAAGCACACCACCACTTGGAGGAGTTCTAAACCAGGGAGGACACAGCAGAGCAGACTAGCTTCCTTCCTCTTCCGTCAAGCAGGGTTTCCACACACACTATGGGGGTGGGGGGTAACGGTCCCCTCTTCTACAATATACCTGCCTATATCAATCCAAATGAACACACTAAAGTTATACCTAAGAAGGTTGAGACCCACTTTTGGGGCATATTTTCCTAAACTACAGAGGGAACTAAGCACAGTACAAAAAAGAGAGAAAAAGTTACAGAGGTGAGGAAAAAAGACATCTTACAGAAGAAGGAAGAAAGGGATAGGTGCCTGTAGCTCTTAATGGGAAGAGTAACGGTTTAAGCAGAGAAAGAAAGCATAGTGTTCCAAAGGATTGGGGGGGGGGTGCACACAGGAAGGGGGAAATCCCTAAAATAACTCTAAATAAAAGTTTGAGAAATTTCTCTCTCCCATCTTTTCCACTCTTCTTATTTAACTAGAGGGATCACACAAACCTGAGTAAAGACAAGTGTCTCTTCCCAAACCAAACACCCCAGTGGTTTGTCACTGGGGTTGAGTGACGGGGACAGATGAGATGGGAAACCCTCACAGGTGGCCAGGATTGGTAAATCAATTTCCCAAGAACCACAATTATCAATCTTCTTTCCCTGAGCTCACACTCCATTTCCAGAAACTGGAAACGCACCTTCTGTGACATATCACAGGAAAAGAAATTTTATTTTACCCCCCCCCCCACTATCAGAATCTACTAGATTGGGAAAGATACAATGTTACCTCCATTCCCAGGTCATCTCTTTCCCAAACCTGCCACACAACCACCTCTGAAAGCAAAGTAGGGTGGTCATCTGGCCAGCCCACAGAAAAGTTGCTCTGGAACTTCAAGGGGCCCTTAGAAGCCACTGTTGGGAAGCAGGGGTTGGAAGACAGGGCACCAGCCAGGCCCCTCTTGCTATTCAGTCCTTCAAGGCCTGACCACACCCAGAGACTTCAAAGTTGCCTAAATGTGTGCATCTTACTGTACCTTACCGCTACATGCCCCAACGATCCTCCACCAGCTCTGCTCTCAAAATTAGGGCCAAAGGAGTCACAAACAGCAAGAAATAAAAAGCAACAGTGATAATATAGGAGGTGGGAGGAGGACTGCCTCACACAAGGCCAGAGGGACAAATTCCTCTGCCCTCCCCCAAGCGCAGCCCTCTCAAGCTGGTAAGGCTGGCACTGCTCGGGGAGGTACAGAAACCACCTTAGTCCAACCTTGGAAGATAGAGTACCAATATCCTCCAAAGCCAGAGCCTCATTCATGGGGCCATGGAAGACAGACCAAGAAGCAAAGAGTAGAATGTCCTCCAAGCTGTACCAAAAAGAATCTAGAGGTCCCTCCAAGAAGCCTGGGCTCCATTTACCTACCCCCGCAGTCTAGCACCTGCACCCCAATGCTGAGTCCCAGGTCCCTGAATGGATCAAACCAAAGACCACAGGTTCCCCTGTCCCATCCTTCACAGCCAGAAACCACCACGTAACACACACACACCCTCCAAAGGTTTTTTCCCCTGGATCTAAATTGGGTTAATGCCTACCTAGCCTTCCTCTGGGGAACTAGAGATCCCAGACAAGCACAGATCTAGGGAGTAAAACTGTGCTGGCTTCCCTTAGTCCTGGGCCTAAGAGGCCCAAAACAGTAAGGAAAGAGAAATGGGTTCATCTCAACCCACTCTTCCCCCGCCTCCATCCCAGACTCATAGCTTTAACTCCATTTTCCCAGCCAAAGGGGAAATGGAGACTTGGAGAGGTGAAAGGCTGAAACAGGCCCTTGAGTGAACAGCTCTTCTGTAGGACTCAGGACTTCCTGGTTCCCAGCCTGAGAATCAAACCACACCTCTCCCCACCCCCATTTTGGGTCGGCCCTCCAGGAAGAATCCAAATGGCAACACTGGCCCTGTGGACCCTCTGGACTGTCTCTGGGTCATCCTGGGGTTAGCCACAGCTAACAAGGAGAGGTCCCTCCTAAGGAAGTTCTCTGGGGACAGACAACAGAAGGGACGCTCCTGAGGATGCAGGGGCAGAGAGCATGGGTGACAGCTAGCCTCATTCCATCACCTCTACAGTACCTCTCACCTCAGGGTTATTACCCAGAAGTCTTTCAAGAGCAAAATCCCTAATTTCTTCTTTCCAAGACCAGGCTGGAAGGGATCTAGCGTATGTATGTTAGAGGCAGTGGAGTGAGGGGAGCAAAACACACCAGGCAAATCCCTGCTGGGCAGCATGACAGCTGTGAGAGGGGCTGTCCCAGCCCAGGGCCCGGAGGCATGAGGCTCATGCTGCACCCTTCATACACTCACATACACACCCCTTCTCCCCAACACCTCCTGCCAGGGTTGGAAACACAGGCTTCAGCAGAAACAGCTCTGATCAGGTCATTTCTCCTCCAAAGAGGGACAGGCCACCCTATTCTGCAGGCTTGGGACAGGATCAGAGGACCAGTTCACATTCCCTGATTGAAAAGGGTTGGAGAGATCTGGGAGGGGCCTGTGTGACTGGCCAGGGACTTACGGGCAACAGCTCTCCACACCAGGCCCAGAGAAAGCGGGAGACAAAAGCCATTTTTTGCAGCCCACAGTCGCAGGGAGCAAATCTCAACGGCCTCCTCTATAATCCCCTAGAGATTATGTCCATCCCCAGAGGAGGGGAGGCAAAGCAGGCTAAGACAGCACTAGGCCTCGCTGGGGTCACTTTGCCAGGCAGGAGCAGTTTAAAGTTGAACAGCAAGGCCAGAGCTGACCCCAGCCCCGCCTCCTTCTTGCCCGAGCCACCCCCTTCCTCACACTAGTCAATTTCCACACACTTTCCCCTCTGCAGAGTGAAATAAGGCCTGGTGAAAGACCTAGGGTTCCTGGAGTCTCCCAGACCCTGCTTCTGGGTGCCCGGATGGGCAAGAACAACCTTAAAGTCCAACCTGGCAGTAAGTCTGACCTGGCAGTGGCCTCTATCCTCCCTCTTAAAGTTGTTCTGTTCCCAAGGCCCACAAGGAACCCTGAGGGAGAAGCAGCCAACTGGGATTGGTGCTGGCATCAGGGCCTGGGTCCTAGTTTAGCAGAGCTTCCCCCCAACACAAAAATAAACAGGCAGAAAGGCGATCTGGCCAGGTTCCCAAACTCCCGTGGTTCCCTGAACCCCCAGTCTTTAAAGAGGCACACCCCAGACACCAGGCCTCAGTTCTGCCTCAGTTCTGCCCCAGCGACTGGCTCAGGTTCCCTTGACAGACCTTGCCAAAGGAACCCTCCTCAGCTCTGGCACCCCTTTCTCCAACCTAAAGGCCAGCTCAGGCCAAGATAGTCCATCTGGCTATGCCCCCAGTCCAACCCTTTCTGGGCCCTGGCCGGGCAGACTTCACTCACCTCTTCACAGGGCGATCCAGAAATCTTCATCCGAGAACATGGCCAGAGCCCGGGCCGCTCCCCGACCTCCAACCGCCAGAGCGATCACAGCCGCCCCCCGCACGGGGGGGCTTAGGGGGGCCAAGAACGGTAAATCCAGGTCGGAGTGGCCACCCTCCTCCCCACCCAAAAAAGCAAGACGCCAAAGAGGGGTTCTCTGCCTCGGGTTCCAGCAGTTTAGGTTTCCATGGACAGCCCCAGGGCGGCGAATCCCGAGCGGACACAAAGAGAGCACCGGTGGCTTTGATCTTGGGCGAGAAGGCTCCGCATCCGCGTCGCCGGGCGGCCTCTCAGTCCTAGGGCCGGGCCAGCGCCCCGGCCGCCCGCGCCGGGCTCGGGCGGAACGTCGAGGCTCTCCAGATGGAACGTCGAGGCGCCTCCCCAGCAGCCCGGAAGGAATGCCGCGCCGCCCCGCGCCGGGCCCGGATGGAACGTGAGACCCTCGCTGGAGCGCCGAATCCCTCTCCCCGCCCGGGCCGGCGCCCCGGGGCCGCGCGAGCTACGGCGACGCGGAGCCGGCGGGGCCGCGGGGCTGAACCTGACACACACCCAACGCCGGGCTCCTCGACCCCGAGCGTTCGCCCTCTGAGGCTTCGAGCCCCCCACCTTCTGCTCCCCCCCGGGGAAGGGAGGAGGGTAGGTGGGCGAGGAAGAGGAAGGGGCGGGCGGTGCGAGCCCTCTGCCCGCTCCCCTCCGGCCGCTCCAGGCCCTGCGCTCGCCTCCCTTCCCCTCTGGCCTCGGGAGCTGCCCCGCCCCCGGCCTGGCCGGCTCTGATCGGCGGCACCCCCTCGACCCCCGGCTGGCTGTGATCGCGGGGGGCCTAGAGGTGCATGGCCCAACCCCGGCTCCCGGCACCGGGGGGTCAGGAAACTGAGCGGAAAGTGGGGAACGAGGCAGCCATTTGCAACCGGAGAGGAAAGTAGTGCAGCGCGGCGCCGCTCCGCCTCCCCCCCTCCGCCTCCTGTTCGGCCGGTAGGGTGGTTCCTGCGAAGGGGCTATTTCCTGGCCCAAAATCTCGGCAGCGGTCGTGGAGATTCAGGAAGCCTCCGGCGCGAGATCCGGGGGGGGCCTTTTGCCTGGGGAACCCCACTCGAGAAGCGGAGAAAGGAGAAGACGCGGCCCTATTTTGTGTTGGAGCGGAGCGGCGGAGGGATACGGCCCTCTCGGAGGAAAGGTTGTGACTCTGCAGTTCTACGCACACGCTGGGGGATCCCTCCGCCTCGGGTTAACCCCGACTGCGCCGGGCCGGCCACCGTGCAGACACGTGGGAAAGAAGACCCCCTCCTCTGCACCCCGGCCCTGGACCTGCCTCCTTCACTGCCCGGCTGGTGAAACTAGGACTCCGGACACTTTCTAGTTCCGTTCCCTTGCAGTTCTCGGTCCCTGAAAGCACCTGCCCCCTTGCCTTGGCCAGGGGCAATCTTTCGCGGGAGGGGGATGGAAGAAGAGCCAGGAGATTGGCCGCTGCTCTGCATCCTGGGAACTGGAGTCCGCAAATGGAGAAAGTGAGGCACGGCGCCTGGCGCTGCAATGGGTGGGTTCTTGCCACGTCCGGGGGCCCGAAGGAAAGCGGGACAAGTCCCTGTTCGTTCTTTCTACCTTTCAGACTCCCTCGTGAGGAAAGAAGAGCCAGTGCCCCCAGAATCACCACACACACCTTCCCCATCAAAACATAAATGTGGAGTTTCCTTCCTTTCCTGGGTGCTCCCATTCCCAACCCCAGTCTTTCTCTCGGGACCTTCAGGCCCTGTGTCCCCTTTTTTAGTAAACAGAGGGGATGTACCTTGCAGCCTTGGAGCCTTGCTGCTACCTGGCCAGAGTGCTATTACTCTAGACAAGATCCCAAAACACTACTTGCAGGCATTCCCCCCCCCACACACACCTCCCCATAAGTCTGGGTGAGAAGGGATTGGAATGCCTTTTCTGCATTAGCTGTAACCACGGATGACCAGAAGGAGACAAATTAACTATATGCTAGATACTTTATATATTCTTAGTTATTTCTCACCCTCGTTATGAACTACGTGGAATTAAGTCTATGATGACGAGATTGAGGCTAAATAGGTAAAATTTCCCAGTGAACCACATCGGTTGACATCCATGATTCAAACCAATGGCCATGTTTTTCCTAAGATTGTATATATTTATATATCAGAAAAAAAATTTTAAGGATGTGGAGAAAGAGGCAAATCATGTACAGGGCTGGTTTTGTGGGAAAGGGTTTACAGTGTTGTCCAGCAGAATTTTCTGCAATGATGGAAATGCACTATAGCTACACTGTCTAATTTGGCTTAGCCACATGTAGCTGTTGAGCACTTTGAAATGTAGGTGGTGCGACTGAGGAACTTTTTGTTTAATTTTAATACTAAATTAAACTATGCGAATTGTAGCTTCCAAATTGGACAGTGCAGAAAACCTAAATCCCTACAGACCAGCCAGGTTCATAGGAGGGATCAGAACTAAGCATATCCTGTGCTAGCCACACAGTGGCATCATATAACCTGCTCTGACCATGCAGGTCTAGTTCAGCAAAAAAGTCCCAACAGTGACCCCTCACATGTCCCAGCTATATTGAATAAATTAACGGAGATCGAAGTTGGGAAATGGGAGCACCTGGCTGGCACAGTCGGTAGAGCACACAACCCTACCTCGGGGTTATAAGTTCAAGTCCTACACTGGGTGTAGAGATTACTTAAAAATAAAATCTTTAGAGGTGCCTGGGTGGCTCAGGCGTTAAGTATCTGCCTTCGGCTCAGGTCATGGCCCCGGGGTCCTGGGATGAAGCTTCGCATAGCATCCAGCTCCCTGCTCAGCGGGAAGCCTGCGTCTCCCTCTCCCACTCCCCCTGCTTGTGTTCCCTCTCTCACTGTGTCCCTCTCTGTCAAATAAATAAATAAAATCTTTTTAAAAAAAATAACATAAAATCTTTAGGGGCACCTGGGTGGCTCAGTCAATTGGGTGTCTGCCTTTGGCTCAAGTCGTGATCCCAGGGTTCTGGGATGGAGCCCTGCAGGGGGCTCCCTGCCCATTGGGGAGTCTGCTTCTCTCTCCCCCTGCCTCTCACCCTGCTTGTGCTCTGTCAAATAAATTTATTTTTTTTAAAAAACTTTTAAAAAACTAAAATCTTTAAACAAACACTTTTTCTAAAAAGCTGGGAAATGTAAGGTCTCTCTCTATACCTGGAGGCAGGGAGGCTGATCTTCACTAAAAAGACCTCCAGTAACACTATAGCCACCGTTTCTTAAGGGTTTATTATGTATGAGACTATGCTAAGCATTTCATATATCGTCTCACTCTAATTCTCTCAACCCTATGAAGGTGTAACTATACTTCATAAATGAGAAACTGAGGCTCAGCCAGGCTAAGTAACTCTAAGTGACTCTCAGGGTCACACATCTAAGTGGAAAAGCATTCCAACCTAGCCATTAACTACTATTCATTACTTTTATCAGGGCTTTGAGATTGCTTGACACACTTTTAAAAAACTTCAAACATTTGTAAGTCTATCCAGGACCTCATAGAAATGGCAGCAGGGCAATAGATAACATATAATGAATATTCCAGGTCAGACGTGCAAAAGGACCTAATTTTAACATAAGGAAAGAGTGTGGTGACAACCTTATAGAGAATCCTAAACTACTGAGATTGCTCTTTGGAGAATGCTTCTTCCAGCAGCCCTTATTTTTTTAGATTCTATTTTTTTTTTAAAGATTTTATTTATTTATTTGACAGAGAGAGATCATAGGTAGAGAGAGAGAGAGAGAGAGAGAGAGGAAGCAGGTTCCCCACTGAGCAGAGAGCCCGATGCGGGGCTCGATCCCAGGACGCCGGGATCACAACCTGAGCCGAAAGCAGAGGCTTTAACCCCCTGAGCCACCCAGGCGCCCCATTTTTTTAGATTCTAGATTAGAGATGCAAAAGCAGCTGGCAGAACTTCTGAAAACTAGCATGATAATCACCCCAACTGTAAGCCCAACTAGCCTAGAATTGGGCACTAGCAAGATCACAGCTAAGATTTTGCCCATTCTCCACAGCTAAGTGCATTGACAGAGTACCTCAGACTTCCCTCAGGTGGCAAGAGAAGTCTGTGTTCTCCCTGTGAAGGATGCCATTCCACTAACCCTAATAAGTCCTTGAAGGAGGTATTGGGCCAGTTAGGCCCTATGTCTGGTGGGGGTGGGGGATAAGCAGAAAGGGTAGACGCAGAGAGGACCAATTCTTCCTAGCTGAGATGTCCATCCTCCCACTGAGATGGCAGGTCAATAAGAAAGAGTAGAAGTAGGGGCGACTGGGGGGCTCACTTGACTTTGGCTCAGGTCATAATCTCAGGGTCGTGAGATCAAGCCCTTGGAATCTCCTTGAGAGTCTCTCTCTCTCTCCCTCTGCCTCTCCTTCCCCAGGCTCAGGCACATGCACGCTGGCTTGTATACACACACACTCTCTCTCTCTCAAATAAATAATCTTAAAAAAAAAATTAGAAGCAATATCCTTTGACAACTAAAAAGGTAGCATGATTCCAAAGATGTGAAGGGTGTGAAAAGGTCACCCAAGTTATGAAAAGACCAAAGAACATTGATAGAAAGAATGGCTCTGGGGATATGGGAAGCAGAAGGATGGATATACACCAGGAGCATTATTTCTTACTTTACTCAACTCTCTTAGAAAGCCAAAATCTTCACCAACACTTCAGTCCCTGCCTCTACGCTCCTTTTCTATTACATCACTAGGATGAGGGGCTTCCTTCCTCCCCAAACCTTAGCCTCTCTCTGAGGGCCAGCCAATGCCAAGGCCCCAGGAGGGAAGCTAGGTCAGCATGTGGCAGCTGGCCACTAGAGGGTGGTGTTTCTGTAGTTAAGGGGATCTTGAGAGTCTGCAATCTTGGATGGGAGTGGCTGCCAACTAGTACCTGTAGAGCAGAACCCAGCAGAAAAGAAAGGTGAAAAAAGCTAAGTAGTAAGTCTTAGGGTAATGGTCCTCCCGAATGAGTGAGGAGTAAGGAATAGGAATGAAGTAGGAGGAAAGCGTTAGCCCTGACTCCCCACCAGAAGTCACAGTCCCCACTCCTTGGAAAAGGAGATATTGGCCCTGAGCTCTCCCCACATACAGAGAAGCCAACGACAAAAAGATTTCTCAGTTTATTTGCATATATACATGGTCACCCTAGGGAGCCTGCTCCACTTCAGGAATCCCCAGCTCCCTTCACCAGCCAACATCCAAAACCTGCACAGAAGAGTGGGTCCTAAATAAACAATGCTTAGGACGCACAGTGCAACCCCGCAGGTTGTAACAATTCATTTAGCAAAAACAGAGGACTAGAGGCCAGAGCCTATGAGACATCCTTGGCCCATTGTAAACATTGACAACCAGGCCACTGGAGCCTGGAAAAGTGTGCAAACATGAGGGTACCACACTGTGTGACCTCAGAGGACTGGGGACACAGCTGGCAACCATACCCGTGAAGTTCTAAGGGCCTACACCCATTGGAGCCTGGCAAGTGCCAGGGGCAGAATCAAGGCAGCAACCCAATGGTTGAGGGCTCACATGAGCTGGCAGCGGCGCTCTTGCCCATAGGAATTCTCCACCCGGGCAATCTCCTGGATGACTTTGGTGAAGATGCCTCGAGTCAGCTGCAAGGGACAGAGATTCAGGGCAAAAAAAAAAAAAAAAAAAATCAGTTCATTGCCAATACAACCCAGCTCTGAGGTGTATACCCCACTCCCCCATCATCCTCACCACCAAGCAGTGCCATAAGAAAAACACTGCTACCCTGATTTTGCCCATAATCTCCAGGCCAAGCACCTGGTTCTCTCGAGCAGATGACTCCATAAACGTCGCACCCCAGGACTCTGCCAGCTTCTTCCCTTCAACTGCCTGGACCTCCCTAGAAGCAAATTTGGAACATAAAGATGGAAGATAGCAATGTCCCCAGGTTCTCTGCAAAATCATTATAGAATCTAGACTCTGACCCATCCATCTTCTAAGGTCTGGGAGATGGGTTGGGGAAGGAGAAAAATAAAGGAGACCTCAGAAACCTAGGACTGAGACTGGAAATATGAAATTATAGCTTTTGCAATAGAGGAGGTATCTCATCTTAACCTTCGAGTTAGAAATGAAAAGAGGTGAAATGATTTGTTCAAGTACGTGGCAGAGCCAGGACTACAGCCTGACTGATTGCTAGACCATCTCACTTTCCTTTGCCTTGAGCTATAGAGATCTCTGTACCTGTCTGGAGAGAGATCTGCCTTGTTCCCCACTAGCACCACCGGCAGCCTGTGAAGAAATAACAGTTACTTGTGGATCCCCTCCCACTCCCCATGGAACCCAACTTCCTTCACATCGTGGCTGGACAACTCCCCCAGAAGATCAGACAGGATCTGTCCTGGCCTCCTCCCTCACTTGGACCCTCCACTCTCTTCCATCCCCTCATGTCCATACTAGGTTTCTACTCCCAGGGCCGCTTACCGAGTTTTGCCATGGCCTTCGTGTAGCTTTTGGTACAGACTCTCAATGACTTGGAAGCTTTAAACACAAGAAATGGAGCTATAAACTTATTCTGGGACAGCCCTCAGATCCTCCCAAGTCCCCCTCTCATAACCTTGGTCACTTACCTATGCAGAGAGGTGACAGAATACACAAGCACATAACCATGGACCCCAATGATGAATGAATAGGGCAGAATGCTGTACTCATCCTGACAAGAAACAGAAACATCAACACCTAGATACACAACACTCAGATGGCAAAGGTCGGTGGGTTGCATCCTGGGGACCCTCCCTGGGACGCTCCCTACTCCAGTCATTTCTATTCAACAAGTATTTACAGAGTAGCTCCAATGTGAACTGAACACTACCAGCTGCTAAAACACTTTTCTTTTAATACCACTTTACAGATGAGCCACAGAGGCAAGCAGACCTCATCTCCCAAGATTGAACTGCCGCATTTAGATTACCCTGCCCCAAACTGGTACCTGCCCTGCTGTGTCCACCAGGTGTAGGTGAAACTCATCTTTGCCAAGAGTCACTATCTTGCTGTAAGCTGAAAAGAAAAGAAAACTTGACTGTGAGGTGCCTTGTAGGGCTAGCAATGTGTGCCCCGATCTGTTCTTAAACCTAGAGGTGATATAGAGATGGACGAGGTCCAGGGAGCTCTCCAGGCAGCTGGAGAGACAATGTTAAGGTTCTTATTGTCTGGTCTACACCATCCTGGATGCAGTATCCTGCAAAATCCACACTCTAGCTCAACTAATAGAACAGGACTGCTAGAGAAGAGATTAGATTTAATGGCTAATTAAATCAGTCCCTTGGCACCAGGAAAATCCCAAATTACGGAATTGGGGCAACAAAGACCTCCCTGCCCAACCCCTAGGGGAGAAATCTACTCACTGTTCTCCACTGTAGGATCATAGCCTTCCAGGAACTCGCCCTCCACAAATTGATGTGCCAAAGATGTCTTCCCTGTGGGAAGCAGTGGTAGTTGTATCCAAATCATCCGTCCACATTTACATCCTCTGTCCTTTCGGGCTGTGGCCCAGGACTAAAGAGGACCCCAAATTAACACCCTAGCCTGTGGGTGCCATGCAATATTTCTCCTTAGCCTACCCTCACCCTCTTTTCGCCTTGGGTCTCTGCACCCTGGCCACCGGATGCATTCAGTAGCGCCGCAGGAAGCCTTTCCCGCTGCCTTTCCCCACCCACCCCTAGGAAGATCCGGGATTCCCCTAGGATCAGGTCTGCCCCGCACCCGGACACCTGAAACTTGCCATCCACACAGACCGCGCCCCCGCCATCAAAGCCTGACCCCATCCCCACCCCTTCCAGGGTAACACTGGGGGCCACTCTGGTGTTCCTGCAACCAAGCCCACATTAACCCTTACATGCTCCTACTTCCTGCAGCCCTCCACACACTACCACCACCCCAGGCTTTCCTCCTCCATCCTTTCAAATCCTCGTCCTACAACCCCGTTCAAATGATGCCACCATTCCTCTCCGGGTCATGTTCCCGCGACAGCGCGCCTCCTCTGGCCACAAAGCCGCGGTGCGTTCGTGCTTTCCCCAAGGCGGAGACTCACCTACAGAGCGGTACCCGAGGATGACCACCTTCCTGTAGCGAACTAGCGGCATGGCAGTAACCGGCCCCGAGGGGCTTGCCGAACCGCGGGCTGAAAGAGCCCTAAGAAGAGGAGATCTGAGTGTAAGGCAGGCGCAGCAACCGGCACAGTAAAGTCGCTCACCCTGAAGCTGCCAGGGACAAGCTAGAGGGAAACCAAAACAAGCGCCGCGCCCGGAGCTGGCCACGTGATCACAACACAGCAAGACTAACGCGAGGGAGCCGAGCGCCGGGGGATCTACAGTGCCGCGCCGCTCCGGGCTCCGCCTCCCAGGCCGCTTGCCATTGGTTCATTAGAAAGGATAAGGGCGGGGCCGCCAGCGGGAGGGAAGGGTGGGCCTCACGTGGAGCCGGAGAACCAGGAGCTGCGCCTGCGCAGACTAGAGCCGGTTCATTCATAAAGAAACAGAAAGGAACCCGGGGTCCTAGAGGTGTTTGCGCATTTTCAACCTAGCAGAAGTGGCCGCTAAGAATCGAAAAATGGAAAAATACCCGTTGTGGCTCGGTTGGAATTTCTTCTCAGAAGATTCTAGGCTTCCCTTTTGCAAGGTCTCTGAGGTGCTTGGATAGGAGAAAAAAAGGGCCCCAAATTCCAATATATTACCTCTGCTTCCCCTAGACTTTGGCCCCAGATCTTTTATCGTCAATTTCCATAGTCTACCAGGATCTTCGGAAATGCGATTCTTATTCTTGAGAAAATTGTTAGGATTTGTGGTCAGGTCGTCTGAAGTTTTGTAGTCATCTTAATCAATGCATTCATTTATTCGACAAATATTTGTTATGCATATACTATATGTTTCAGGCATTGTTCTAGCTTTGGGGATAGAGCGAAGAACATGACAGACGTCTCTCTGCTCACAATGCGTAAAGCCTAGTCTGAAGAAACAAACATATAAGCAAGGAAATATTAGATAGTATTAAGTGCTATAAAAGGTAGTATAATAAGAAATGGACACATTAGATTAGTAATACTTCCTCTCAAAGGAATCCCTATTTAAGCTGAGGTCTGAAAGACAATAAGGAGCCAGCGAGAACAAAATTCTGACGGAAGAAACCATTAGCGCTATGGGTGCTACGATGAAAATAAATTTGTTAAATTCCAGGAGAAGCGAGGGAGAGAGAGTGTGTGCATCAACCTAAAGCAGGTGAAATCTAAGAGGATGGCAAGGTCCCGGCCATGTAAAGAAGTTTGGGTACCCAGAAAGCAGATGATGATCTGAATATCTTAATTGTGTTTCAAAAAGATTTCCCCGGTTGAGGGACGCCTGGGTGGCTCAGCCTGTTAAGCCGCTGCCTTCCGCTCGGGTCATGATCCCAGAGTCCTGGGATCCAGTCCCACATCAGGCTTCTTGCTTAGCGGGGAGCCTGCTTCTGCCTCTGCCTGCCATTCTGCCTGCTTGTGCGCTCTCTCTCTCTCTCTCTCTCTGACAAATAAATAAATAAAATCTTAAAAAAAAAAAAAAGATTTCCCTGGTTTAAATAAATAAATAAATCTCTCTGATTGTGAAGAAATGAGGCGAACAGGAGCAAGAGGGGAAGAAGATCAGTTGGGAGACTTACTTGTAGTCCAGGTGAGAAGTGAAGCAGGCTTGACTAGAGTGGTAGAGATGAATTAAGTGGAGAATTCTGGATGCATTTTGAGGCTGAGGTCAATCTGACTTGCTAAAGGATTGGATATAGGAGGTGAGGGAGGGAAAAAGAAGAAAGAAAACATCTAGGTTTATGGAACGCTACTTGGTGCCAGGTGCATTTTATTGTTATCTCATTTAATATTCACAACAGCCCTAAAGTTGGTAATTGGTGTTATTTATCCATTCATTAACAAATATTTACCAAACAGCCATCATATCCCATGCACCTTTCTAGATGCTGGGAATAGAACAGCAAACAACACAGACAGGGTCATTTGCTCATAAGGAGCAAGTATTCTTTTGGACAAGACCAACAATCTACAAATAAACAATAAATAAGCTGTGATAGAAAAATAATAACTGCAGTGGGAGGAAAAACAAGGTGTTAATGGGCTAGGGAGTAATGGGGTATAGTATTTCTCTTATTTTATATGATATCCTAGAAATCCTGAGGAGGTGACATTTGTACCTGAGGCTTGAATGATGGGTAGCTATAATCACCCTTATCTTACAGATGTGAAAACTGAGATTTGGCCATAGAGATAGCACACAGAAGGTAGTTCTTCTGGAAGAGCCTGATGAAGTGTGTATGCAGTAGTTAGATTGTACTGGAGGGGGGTGCCTGGGTGGCTCAGTGGGTTAAAGCTTCTGCCTTCAGCTCAGGTCATGATCCCAGGGTCCTGGGATCGAGACCCGCATCGGGCTCTCTGCTCCGCGGAGAGCCTGCTTCCTCCTCTCTCTCTGCCTGCCTCCCTGCCTACTTGTGATCTCTGTCTGCCAAATAAATAAATACAGTCTTAAAAAAAAGTAATTAAAAAAAAGATTGTACTTGAGGACACACTTTGTATAACTGTGGAACTATCTAATGCTTTAGGAAGTCCAGATCTACAAGAGTTGTTTCAAAGAGCCACTTACTCTGGCCTCAGAAAGGGACCTAAATAGTTTCTTGACTGGGTAAAGGAAGTTCCTGCAGACCAGCAATTTTATGTTGAATTATTTGGCCTGAGTGGAGGTTGGTGGAGATTCCAGATTGGGTCTTAAAGGCACTGCAGGGTAGAACAAAGAACTAGATTCAGTGAAATTCAGTAAAAATTTGTTCACCTCCTGTTTTGTACCAGATAGTCTCACCATTTGTCATACAGCATGGATATAAAGATAAGTGATATGCCTTTTATGCTGTTTGTCTTTCTAGATTAACTCTCTATTTTTGGGGCACCTGGGTGGCTCAGTTGTTAAGCGTCTGCCTGAGGCTCAGGTCATGATCCCAGAGTCTTGGGATTGGGCCCTGCAACGGGCTCCCTGCTTGGTGGGAAGCCTGCTTCTCCCTCCCTCCTTGCTTGTGTTACCTCCTGGCTGTTTCTCTCTGTCAAATAAATAAATAAATAAAATATATATATTTTTTGAAGTCTCTATTCTTTGTCACCCAGATTTGTTTCCAGGAGACACACCTTGCCCCCTGGATCTCAGCAGAATTCAGCCTAAGGGAAGCCCTCACAGAAGGTCAGATGGAGTGGGGAGAGTATCTGTGACCCCCACTGAAGGTCCTAGAACCTCTCAAGTCACTCCCTCTACACACACACCCCCAACGCATACACTTCTCTTGTGCTGTTTCTAGTTGCTCCCTCCCCTTCAGGCCTGCTTTGGTAACAGCTTCTCTGATACTCACCCTAACAATACTACTGTACCCCTGTGGTTTCCCTATACCTTTGTAAATAATCTCTTTATTAAATCATTCTCAAATTCTCTTGTTTTCAATCAGGAGGAAAACAAAAGGCCTAAAAAAAAGGGTTTTCTCCTCTTGTATCTTCTTCTTTTTATACAAGAGGAGAAGATCTCACAGCAGATTTTCACCTCCATCTCCTTAAACCAAACTATTAAATGGCTATCTCTAGCTGCAAGGGAGCCTGGAAATTTTAGCATTTTCTTTTCTACCCTCTGTAGTAAAGGAAGGCAAAAGAGAGGTGATTAGGAATAAATGTTCAGTGAGCCAAATCTATAAGACCTGCACACCTCAGGAACAAGGTATTTGTTTATTAAATATCAATCCCCTTAAAGATTAATGCATAAATGGTTACTTTGTAGAGATCATAGGTATACAAAGATCACCAATACAGGATCAACTCAAGAAAGTAAACCACTTTTTTTTTTTTTTTTGTCAGAGAGAGAAAGAGAGAGAGAGAGCACACATGCACACAAGTAGGGTAAAGAGGCAGGCAGAGGGAGAAGCAGGCTCCCCACCAAGCCTGACGTGGGACTCGATCCCAGAACTCTGGGATCATGACCTAAGCCAGAGGCAGATGCTCAACCGACTGAGCCAGGCATCCCGAAGGTAAACTATCCTAATGGCAGGTAAATGGGCTTGGAATAAAATTTCTAGTGACAGCGTGATATACCTTGCTATGTCTCAAACAACTGAAATAAAATAAAGATTAAATACTCCCAGAAAATTGTTTTAAGTATCTCTATGAAAAGTGAAAACATTTTTACTCTGTTTGTATCAAAAGTATGGGTTTTGGGGCAGCTGGGTGGCTCAATTGGTTAAGTGACCAACTCTTGGTTTCACCTCAGGTCATGATCTTGGGGTCCTGGGATTGAGCCCTGTGTCAGGCTCTTCGCTTAGTGGGGAGTGTGCTGGAGATTCTCTCTTCCTTTCTATCTCCTTCCACCCCTCCCCCTTCTCGTGCTCTCACTCTCTAAAATAAATAAATAAATTTATTAAATATATGGGTTCCAGGGATACCTGGTTGGCTCAGTCTGCAGAGCATGCAACTTTGGGTATCAAGATCATGAGTTTGAGCCCCACGCTGGGCATAGAGATTACTTAAAAACAACAGCAATGATGACAAAAACTTGGTGGTTTTAAAAAACAATGTATTGGGGCACCTGGGTGGCTCAGTGGGTTAAGCCTCTGCCTTCCACTCAGGTCATGATCTCAGGGTCCTGGGATCGAGTTCCTCATTGGGCTCTCTGCTCAGCAGGGAGCCTGCTTCCTCCTCTCTCTCTGCTTGCCTCTCTGCCTACTTGTGATCTCTCTCTGTCAAATAAATAAAATCCTTAAAAAAAAAGAAAAGAAACCCACCATAAAAGATAAATATTAAAACAAAACAAAACAAAACAAAAAAACAATGTATTATTTCTCCTGACTCTGTGGGTTGAACCGGCAACTCTTCTGTTATGTCTCTTGGACTCACTTCTGTGGTTACCAGAGGCCACAGACCCTTTTCTTCAACTACAGCTACTTACAGCTCTCTCTCTGGGTTCTTGTAACCCTTCTTCCCTGGCCCCTTCAGGTTTAGGGGTTACCACTTATTGTGTTCCTCAATGATCCCAGACTCAACGTTTCACCACTCTGGAAGATATTCTTTAACACTACCCACAACTTTATGAACAGTGTGAACAGCTCTTCTGTTTTATTTTTCTCAGTTCCCGCATTTGAGTGTGCAGTCTGTTTTCCCCAAGACTCTGAATGATGTACCTCTGAATGTTATAGAGGGAAAATGATCAAGTAAAAGACTAGACGCAAAATTATATTAAGTCTCACATCACAGTATGAGTAGTGAAAAGTATAGAGGAAGAAACCGTTCTCAA